TTATTTGTTCCTTTCCCCTTTCTCTTTTTCGTAGATATGGCCGCGGAGGAGTACAACGCATTCTTTTACACTCTTGTCTCTACGGTAAGTAATTTATTTGAAAATGTCTCATGAGATTAAAAACAGTTCCTCTTGGAGTCGAATTGTGGTCCTTTTTATATCGAGAGGACTGAACCAACCAGTTAGAAATCCCTTAACCAAGTTTGCTTCCTCTTGAACTCGAATGGTCAGCGGGAGTCATGGTGCAAGAAGCGTGAGACTATCCGTGCGCATGTTCAGCCGTTCTGCAGCCGTGTCCAGTGTTCAATGTATTTGGACGCGAGCAAGGGATCTGGGTTTGGCACATGAAAGAAAGGCTTGCTGGCAAACTTCCGTGGAAAAATAATGTTGCGAGACAAATCCAGGCTCTTCTTACTACGGGCTATTTTTTTTTTTCGGTTGTAGCGAAGAAAAAGATTTGCTTGACGAAAGTTAACATGGTAAGAATTGAGGGGTCTTGCACTAATTCCAATTTTAGAAATAAACCCTTGGTTTACAGTTCGTAACAACTTTCTTTGCTCTGCAGGTTATTGAATAGAAATACTTTCTAATTCTTCTCTTGATCTTACAGGACACTGAAGAAATGTTTTATTCTGCAAAGCGTCAGCGTTTTCTGGTAAATCAAGGGTACAGCTTTAAGGTGAGCCTATTCTTAGCTCTACGCATGTAAACCGCGTCGGAAATAGTGTTACTGGACGTGTTATATCTAATCCCAGTGAGTATCAGCCAAGAAACTTCGACAAGCGCGACTCGTTCATAAGACTGGAAATACATTGGACAGCATTTAGCGAATCCTGTGATCAGATTAGCTGCTTAAGTGGGCATGATGGGCCTATGTTGTACTCTAGGGATTGCCCGATTTGATTCCATGCCAAAAAAATTGCGTGAAGAAGACTGACAAATTTCGTACTTTTTTGACTATATCGGCAAAAGAGTCGCATTATTCGAAAGGGGACAGTAAAAATAAAGAAAACATAAGCGAATCTATTGGGTTTATTGTGCTACAAACACAGTTGGCTTCCATTCGTGGCTCTCGGAATAAACAAATCATTCTTGATTCCCATTATAGTGAGACCTACTTGCTTTTTAATAAATCCTTTTTTAACCATGCTTTCTCGGTCAAGATGGCTGGAGATTGGCCTCGTTCCTTTTTCTGGCGTTTTCATGGATCTCGACTTTGTCTAGCCTTGTTAAACTCACGCTTAGTGAATAACGCATATATGATAATCCTCCGCTGCCTGTGCAACATTGTTAAAGAAAATGAGAGGACAACAAAAAAAGCCAAAAGTATTTTTGTTTTGGAAATCTTCAAATATCTTTCCTTCTAAACTGTCCACGGAAGCATAGCTAGAGAAAAATCGTTAAGGAGTAGTTGTCTAGAGAAACCTGACTCTTTAAAGTATTCATTACGATCAAGTGTCCCTTTTGTCATGATTTTACGAAATAGCCGATTGCTACGCGCGCTCTGATGCGTCAAAAACTTTATCAAACTGATAAACTTATAGCTATTTGTACGAGTAATAGCTGATACTCTATGTCGGTTTGGCCTGTTGATAACCAACCAAGGATGGGTCTTTTCGAATTATATTTAATTGAATTTTTGTTCTTCTTTTTTCTTTACTTCAAGGTCATTACACGGTTGGCTGGAATGGAAGAGGTACCTATAAATGTAGACTCTATAACAATGATTACTTTCATTTTAATCGCACTTTTATCTTGCAATCGTGGTCAAGGTGAAGGTCGTGACATAAAGTGAGCTGCAAGTTGCTGATCCTGTAGGATTTTTCAGTACACTTTTCGAAATTTCATGGGGGATTTAGATTATTCTTTGTGTCCTGTTTGTGACAACGTTTGATATCTCTCTTATCTGTAACGTTTGCTGTTTTGCTCCGTACAAAACTATTGTCAATTTAATTAAAAAAAACCTTACACTATGAGCAATGGAAGGAAGGAAACCATCAAAGAGATACAGATGAACAAATTTGGTGCGAAGGTGAATAACGACGGGGAAGATTCACACGGATTTCAGAGGACTTGTTTTCATGATAAACAAACCTTGCTGCTGATGCTTTATCAAGTAATAGACTAATACTTTTCGTCGTCCTTGGTTGAACAGGAGAATTTGGAGCTTGGAGACAAGAGAAAACAGCAGGAACTCCTACAGCAGGTATGTGCCGATAATTGCTTGCGTTACCGCGAACGACTACAAATGTTAGGATGTCAGATAACGCAACTGTGAGGGAGAGATTCCAAGTTTATGTTTCTCTGTCGAACGAGAAGAGTGCTGTTTTGTTTGAAGCGATTCTACAATGATGTGTTTTCTTTTACTTTGATAGCATAAACTCGCCTTCATTTCGTAAATTATTTTCTTCCAATAACTTGGCTAATTTTCGAACACGGAAAGGTTGATCAATCACCAAGAAACTCTTCTCTTCTAGTGTAGTTGATCCACATTGAAATATTTCGTGAACTGAGATGTTGGAGTTTTGCATATTACTGCGAGACAGATGCGCATCATGAGCACATGGCACCGACGGCAAAATAGCTGTCAATTTAATTGATTTTATACTTTAAAGTTATGCACTTAGTACTGAAGACAGATTTATATAACTCTGGAAAGTCAGAATGTGTTCATTGATGAGCCCTATACTTGACACCAAAGAATTGGTTCTTGCTTAGCGTGCGTATATCGAGTTATGGATACACGCGGTAATTTATACCATAATTCGCATCGCTTTTGGGATTGAAGTATCGTCTATTTTTCGTCGCTTGAAAGAGCTACATGGTCATTGTTTTTAGAAACGGGTATTACTGGGCATATTTTCCTTTCGTTTGAATTCGAAAAGGTCCATCTCAGTCGGGATAGAACGGAAGAACAATCTTGAAAGGTTTGAAACATCGCGGCTAAACTCGATGGAAACTTTCAGCCGAAGTGAGATTGCACACGTCGTGTTATGGATACACGGAAGTGCGGTACATAGGGATTTTTATTATGGCAGCTCCTTAAGAAATAGGTTGGCCTTACGCGCGCGCTATGATATTATATAATTTGGGTTTTGCGACTATTTGCAATGAATTTGTCCCGGTAGTAAGGCCAGTTTTTGATATACGCCCAACAAAGAGTTTCAATTACTTTTTCGACTATGACATATTTATTGGCATAGGGTGAAGGACATCCGGTTTTTGCACCGAAACAAAACAATGCTTTGAGTAGCCAGCTCTTAGTCTTTGAATGACTGCCTTACACTTAATTGTGGTTACGTAAATGTGGATTGAATAGTGACTGTAGAGTCATATTCGAGAGACACTTGAACCACTTCCTAATTCCGCCTTCGAATTTCCTCCGCCTTTTCCTCCGCAAGTGTAATTCATGAGAAAACGTGAAGTGGAAACATTTGTCGATGACCCAAGCGGGAGATCAAGGTCGGGAGAAGCAACTGAAAATCAACATGGCCAACTTCTTCGAAGCTAATTTAACAAATGTTACAAAAATGAGCTGCACTGCAAGCGATGAAGCAAAAGTCCCATTAGGTATCATCAGTAACAGCATCGCTTGTCCTTTCATAGTTGTACTTAACGTGCAAGTTATAATGGCTGTGAAAACGAGACCACGACTGCGAACCAACAGCAACATCTTGCTGACCTGTTTAGCGGTGACTGATGCATTAACCGGTCTCACAGTGCAGCCTTTGTTTGTTTTGGGGAGAATTCTCCGGCTCTTTGACGTTGGTGACCCCGAGAGAGTTGCAAAAGCCCACAATACTATTCTCTTTGTAATCGTAACATCTTCGTTGCTTCATATTATGCTGGTTACTTTTGAACGGCTAGTTGCGATCAAATTTACCATGCACTACTCGAACGTTATCACTGGGAAAAACCTAAAGTTAACAGTGGGTGCATTTTGGAGCTTTAGTTTCATCGGTGGGGCTATGTGGCAGTTAAATTTCAGACTAGTTTTATATTTTTGTATAGCTCCTGTTTTGGTTTCATGTATCGTTTTCGTTACGTCAGCTGACGTGGTTTTGTACCGTGAAACCCTTCGCCACCGAAGGAGGATAAAAACTCATCAACTGCCCCAAGAAGAGGTTGAAAGATTTACTAAAGAGAACAAGGCGCTTAAGACAACTGTTTTTGTAATCGGTGCCATCGTTGTTTGCTTTTTGCCAGCTGGGTTCTCTATCATCCTCCACATCTATGGCGTGTTTCAGGGTAACGCATACGTAACTTTGACTTCATGGATTCGAACATCCGCCATGTATAACTCTCTTGTAAATCCGCTGATATACTGCTGGCGACAAAAGGAAATGAGGAAGGCAATATTTTGTTCAAGTTGCCAGGTTGTGGATCCTGCCAACCAATGAAAGTGAGGAAGAAAAGCGCACTGAATAAACTTTTTAGAATGACCCGGAATACGACTGTCCCTAACAACCAGCGTGTTTAGTCATAGAACAACAGTGGGGATTTAGTTACCTCATTTTGTGAATAAATAAGCCGTTACTGATTAAATTTTCCCCAATCCCGGTGTTCGTTTTCTCTAAATCCCTTGCGCTAGCGCTCTTGAGGATGATCTGTAACCCTTTGACTCTCAAGATCTCATTAGGAATTCTCCATACTGTCTGCCTAATGATTCTCATTAAGTTAGTTTGGAGAATTTGGTATCGGTTCAATAAGTAACCCCATAATTGATATTTTTCTTTATTCTCATCACTTGTCTGCATGATAGTGTATAGATATAGTAATGAGAAATTCTGTCTTGGTCACTCACGGAAGTTAAAGGGTTAAGGAAGTAGGTCTGTCAGCTAACCAATAATTAAACGTCATTTTGATTACACAATTTCTAACACATTTAAAGTCTCAACCAAGTTTATGAAATTAGTGATATACTACGAGCGCCTCGGTCGAATTGGACAAAAACCTATTGTTTATTTAGCCTGCAGAACAGGCATACTTTTTTTGCGTTTTTCAGTGGAACAGAGGCGAGCACGAGCGCAAAAAATTTTCCTTTCGCAATCCTACCCTCGCGCGTGACTTGCCCTTCGCGCTTGCTTAGCGTTTGTCTCCGTTCGCCTGTTACATGTAGAAATTTACGCCGGTTCCGCAGGCTACGCGAGGTGTTGGAGAACACACTAGATGTTTGTAAATCTTTCGCATCTGGCTCGTGATTTTCAGGCCCTTCTCATGGTCTCCCAACATTCTGCATGGGTATAACGTAAGCTGATATTGCTTAAGGCCGTGAAAAAAGTCGTGCAAGTTTTTATCAAGACGATGTCAACCCCCTGTTATGAGCACTCTGCTGATATTAAACTCCTCGTGTACGTGACTCGTGACACTAGAATGACATCCTTTTGTATACAAGCACTTGAAAATTTTATTTCGTGGGGGTTATTGGAGTTGTCGGGAGTTGCGTGACATTGTAGCGTGACACAGAATTGTATTTCCCTTCAGGTGCTGGCTGCTAGTGACGCAGACGCTGAGGAAGAGAGAGTGGGTAATGAAATAAACCGCAGTAGCTCGCAGGTACGATGCAAGGGCGTGGCTAAGGGAGAAGGGGGAAGTCAAGAGGGTGTTGAACCCCATTCTTAGTGATGCAAAACACCACATGTTGATTAGACGTTGGTGTAGGATGCCTCTTGAGCTGCAAAACTCCACATGCTCTCTTGCGATGTTATGTGAGGGGGAAAAAAACATGTCCTCAAGGAAGAGAGAGGGTCACATGATTCTAGACGGAGGATTGTACGGGTGCATTTTTTGTGTCTCAGGGTAGTAGGTAGTCTCTTCTAAGCGACTCTAAAAGGCAGGGCAAGAAGTGTACAAGTACTTTCCATATTTATACAAGGGAACGAGTTGAAAGGGAGGGTCAGAATTACTTCCCATTCGGACAGGAGTCACGTTAGTTTTGAGAGCACTCCACAGCTTACTCTCGTCAAACCAAAGCGAAAGATACCACTTCGGCCGATTAGAGCAAAGGAAATATTACACCGATTCAATACAGGTTCTTCCCGTAACGAACCTTTATCTTTGGGCGACCGGTATGAGCTTGTTTTTAAGAAAACTTGCTACATAGAATTGGCACTCCAGATTTCTGAGATAAGAATATCCAGCCCTTTCCAAGCCTTGACTGGACAAGCTGTTGCTTTTAGGATGATGTGCATCTTTTCTCCCATGGGCAGTTGTTCTGAACAGTGGTATCAGGGGTTTGGGCCATCCCGCAAAGCTCACCACGTGACTTCCACTTTTTGTTGGTTTTCATTTATACTCGAGTTTTATAAAATAGATCGGATTCCCATTATGTTCAGAACTATGGAAAAAATTCCAATGCTATAGGTTCTCCACGAGAAGAAGAAACATTATTGTAGCTTTACTTACATGGGTTAATTTTTTTTCTCTAGAGCTCTATAGTATCTCGGCGCCAAGGCTCAATGGCTTCCATGTCTGGAGCAGACGATATGATGTATCTGGAATACAGGAGTAGTTCAAAACAATCCAAGTCTAGACATCCCCTGTTTAAACGTTTCAGAAAATGAATTGGAATGAACTGAGTCTAGCATTTTATGCGACTATAAAAGATTCGTTCTATGAGACTAAAAGATTGAAAAGAGACATTAGTAGACCAAGAAGGATCAGAAATGGCTAAGGATGAAAAAGTTGAAGTCACTTTGCAAATAATTCGCTAGACTTCGAGCAGTCCTTGCTTTTTGGCGAAGTTCGTCACACGAGTCAAAAAATCAGTTGGAAAGTGAAAATCGATGTTAGTGTGTCGCGCGGAACCCTGGGAGTGATGCGCACGAGTTCTCGCACGGCGGACTTAGCTTAAAAGCAGGGATTGCTTTAGTCTAATAAGTAGCTTTTCCTGTCGGAAACGAAGCAACCTGTTGACCGCAATGGAAAACGTTTCAAGACTGGAAACCTCTGCCTTCTTATGGATAGAAGTCGATCTATTCGTGCAAGGTGTTGAGATTCACGAAATTGTCTGTAATAAAAGGTGTTGCTGAAATAGTGTCATTTTATTGTCAAGTGTGCTGTTGCGTAAGACAACAGTATCGAAACGAAGTGCGCTTTCGTAAGTAGAGGAAACCAGTTGGGTCAACCGAAGAACTTAAAGGTCAATGGACCTCTTGAGCTCGTATGTTTTTTAGACACATTTTAGGTCTCAAGGGTATTCCCAGCTTCAACGTTGATAATTCATGCGTACATATGCACGTAAATGAGAGGAAGTGCTCTTGAGTACGTATTAATGTGAAACAAAACTTACAAGCCTGAGAGGCAGCGAGCTCTGACTTTTTGACGCACCAGTCACGTGAGCTTTTTAGCGCCCAAGATATTAAGATATCGGCTGGAACCAGTGTTATCAACTTTGATTTGACTCTCACACCATTTGGTAACGATGTAATACAGTTCAATGTCCTTTTAAGCCTGGTTTCCATATAATCTCCCAGATTCTCTTGATGTTCCCAGTTTTTTTCATCATTTGTAGCATACTTTGCGACGTTACTCCGCCCCAGTCGTCTCTGCTCAGTATCTGCTGGCGCGGTTGAGGTGGGATTGAGTTTAGGTGACACGCCGTAAAGAGGATGGTGGGATTTGCCAAGGATTATAAGTTGCATTTAAATGGAATCTATTAAGTCGGTCTCGGCCTGAACGCAGCACAGTGCAATTAATTTTGCTCTAACGAAACTTGTTGTCAACAGCTTCAGTCGATAATTATTTCAACTGTTTTAACAATTTGATTGATCTTCAACAACAACATTTCAACTTGTGACTTTTAGCTAGTTGATTTTCGTCTAAAATTCACCAATTCGGATTAAGTGAATGAAATAATCACACTATCACTGATGACTGTCAAGGCCAACATTTCAAGCGACGTGACTAAAACACTTATGGTAAATTCAAATGTTTTTTTCTTTTATTGATAGGCCTGGCAAGGAATGTTCCGTGAGCAATTTGCTAATGAGGGTTCAAGGTGGTACGCTTCCAATGATTTCCAAGGTAATTCCTCGTTGTTCACAACATCGTTCTGGTAACTCCTGTGATGGGGTTGGTGCCACATTATGACATTCCTTCCGAGGGGGACGCTCAACAGGGTCCTCTCTCTTTACCCTTAATGTCCTAACATCAGTAAGCATATTCTCCATACTGTTCACCGTACATTTTCTAAAAGCTGTCGAGGTGATCAATTCCTTTATTCTTGTGACCTTAATGTTTGATTCAAGGGTGATATGCCCAGGAGAAATTAGTTGCCAATCACTCTTAGGGGTTGAAGAGTTAAACCTTGAGAGAGGAAAAGAGAGGACCCTGGGAACAAGGTTAAAGCCTTCCTTAGCCTCGTAGCCTCGCTTTTGTGTATATGCATGACGTCACCCGGAAACTGCATAGTATTCTGAAAGCAGGCTTATTTTCAAACGTAGGTATTTTGGTGCTGCTGCTACTCAGAAACTGAAAGCTTACCAAAAGATGTCAGGACCAAAGAGTGAAGGCGTTAACAGACCATCTCCACTGCTTAAACAGTATGAAAATGACGAAATTTTTAGTATGCTTGGTCGCCGTTGTGTGGTAAGTTGAAAAGAATCAGCTCCAAGAGTGGCGTTGTAGCAAGTTCGAGCCTCGTTCTTTTTCCTTATTTTTATCATGACTCTTTTACAGACTCTTGCGACATCCGTAGCCCAGCTATATATTGCACCGCCTGAAAACCGTAGAGCATGGAAGAAGAAAGTTACAGGAGTAATTTGTTTTGTGAAAGACAACGTGAAGAGATCATACTTTCTTCGAATGTACAGTCTTGTGGTAAGCTCAGAACGTGTCACTTCACAACTGCACTCTAGAAAGACATCATTTTGGCCAATCTCTGTGTTGATTTTAATTCTATCTTCATCGTATTGTAGACAAAGTCGTTAGAATGGGAACAGGAGTTGTACAACCATTTCAAATATAATCTTGCTCGGCCTTATTTCCACGCTTTCGCCGCTGATGTAAGTAGAAGTAATTTAGAATTTCATTTGTCTAATCTACTTTGTTTTCAATGTTACAATTTTAGTATTTTACCGATTATAACGTTACTATCTATCTGTGGGCAGTTAAACAAAATTAACTGGGATTAAATGAGCAATTGCCTTTGTTGTGAGATTTAAGAGAGTTTAGCTTATGAAATAAATTTCTCTATGTTATTAACTGATGACTAAGTGCTATTTTTGAAATACGTGCTATGATTGGTCAATATAGCAACCCTTGTTCCACAGTAGAGGATATTTGTCCCTTCCTGAGGTGAATGTCTTTGCTGTTGTTGAGCAGAAATCATTGGATAGATCTTCATTTGGACTTGGTGCTTATATAATAATGCAAAGCAAAGTAGAGAAAACCAGATAATTTGCTTTATCAACTGAGTTTGCAATGTACATGTACATTGGCCACCACAAAGAGTTTCTAAAGCTAATGTTTCCAGCATTAGCCCTTTGTTGGTTTGAATAAAGAAATTGTGAGTTTCTATACAGAAAAATCAAGCTAATCTAAAGGTGTTTAACATTTTTATTAGTCTGAACATGAAAGTGATCTTCAATAATGAACACTACTTAAGCAGTAGTGAAAATAAGGTCTGAAAAAAATTCAGGCCTGTACTGGATTTGAACCCATGACCTCTACAGTACTGGTGCAGTGATCTACCAAATGAGGTAGCAAACCAACTCTGAGCTGGTCATTATGTTGGTTTGAAGAAACCCGTGAAGTGATGAAATGATTACTTAAACCGCAGTCCACATCAATGATTTTCATATATCCACAGTCTTTTATTAATCTGTTTATAATATGGCCACTCTGTGTTGTAGAGTTACAATGCTGGTCTAAATTTTGCAAATACTGAAGAGGCCCAGAACTTTATCAATGTGATTGAAAAGAAGCTGAAGGAGAAGGAACAGAGACGCGTAGGTGAGAGAAAGATTAGATTAGGTCAACATGTACATGTATTTATACAGTCACATGGCTGAATGCACCATGAACTGATAGTCAGAGCCGTATTGTTGGGAAGTGATTGAAAGGAGCAATTATGTTTTGGTCACTACTAGGAGTGTGCACATGAAATAGTGTCCAGTGAGAAAAGCTGATACATCGATGCTAATTTTTTAATGATTAATCCTTTAATTCATAAGAGTGACTAGTATCTAATTTCTCCTTAGAATATCACCCCTGAATCAAACATTAAGGTCCTGAGAATAAATGAAATCATCACCAACTTAAGAGGCTCTATATAGCTAACCAAATTCTCCTTGTCAGCACCTCAGGAACATATAGAGAACAGTATGGAGAATATACATATTAATGTTAGGGTGTAAAGGGTTGATTATGTTTCAAACATAATTGATTGCTGTTTATTGCTGTCTATTAAAAAATTCTTCATCACACTAATGTGGCTTTTTTTTGACATTTTATGATCAGCAACAGTTTTTAACAACCATTTTACAGAAGCAAATGACTCTCTTTTGTGTGATTTGTAGAAAGAAAAAAAGAGAATGCCTCAAGGCATGGCAAGCAGCCTGCTCCGCCCCCTGCAGTAGGGGGGAATGTGGACATTGGAAAGAGGAGTTCTTTACAGGCCAATGGTAAGAGTATGTGTAAATGTGCGATTTTAATATCACAGAAAAAGCACTCAAAATAGCTTGGGTCAACAGAATTCAAGATGACTCACAAGCCTCCTGGAAAATCATTCCTAACCAGCTCTTACACAAACATGGTGGTCTTGCTTTTCTAACAAAATGCAACTTTACACCAAGCACACTAGACCTCGATGATAAGCTTCATGCATTTTACAAAAAAGTGTTAGATTATTGGTGCGAGTTTAAAATCTCAATGGGCATCGATTCCAAAACAAATCCTAAAAACGAAATAGTGTGGAATAACAGAAAAATTCTTATAGGAAAAAAACCTGTCTTTTACCAAACTTGGTATGATGCCGGTATTACTAAGATAAGCGACTTGTTAAACCAAAATCAGAAATTTTTGAAGTGGCATGAATTTGTCACAAAATTTAATTTAAATGTGCCTTTCACCACATACTATGGCTTGGTCAACGCAATCCCAAAAGACTGGAAAGCTATTCTTACAAACCCTATTCCAAACGTCACACACACGAACACTACTGTAAACAGCCTAAGAACCAGTTCTATTTACTCTTCTCTTTTAAACACTGTCTTTGTTCCTCCCACTGCCGAAACCAAAATTCTACGCCACGGATTTACAAAAACTACCATCAAGAACGTTTATCTTATGCCATTTAAAGTTACAAACGAAGTTAAAATAATAATGTTTCAGTATAAAGTGATTTATAACGTGCTTCCAACTTGCGCCACTCTTTACCAAGACGGCATTTCAGAGAGCCCCTTATGCAACCTATGCAATACAGAAAAACAAACGTTGCATCACCTATTAATAAACTGCACACTAATACTTGACTTCTGGATTCTGTTTCAAGACTGGTGGCACCAAAAAACAAATGAAACAATAACGTTATCCACAAGTTATATACTCTATGGCTGGCATTATAGGACAAAGCAATGGCAAGTCCTAAATTATTGCCTATTGTTAGCCAAATATCACATTTTCTGCACAAGCCTTTGCGGAGACATCTTAGATTTTCAAATCTTCCTACTGTCCATCACAGGAAAACTTGAAATCCTAAAAGAGATTGCGACTGCAAAAAAAGAACTTCCGAAATTTTATCGCATGTGGGCTTCTTTACTTTAATTTTTCATGCTGCTGTTGTTTTAGGTTAGACTTATACTTAATTTCATAAACATTTGTTTAAGCTATATCAAAAGTAAATATCCAAAGAAATGTAGCATTTTTGAGACCTGTTTGTTCACTTGTGATTGTCTTTTAATTGAAAAGAACTTTGTAAACACGCCAACCGTAAATTAAATTAATGTTAATAGTATTGTAATACATGTATCGTAATGTAGTGCATGCATAATTAGTGTAAATATAAGTATCAGTAGTGTAAGTAGCAAGTACAGTGTAAG